ACTATTAGACTAACGAGGCCGTCAATTACAAATGATAATGATCATTTTTTAATATTATGAAAACTTTCAAATGAGGACCACGTCACTCCTATCAGGTTATACAGTATTATTCTGCCGAGAACCGTTTAAGAAGTTCTTCCAAAATCTTATAAACCATTGTTTTGGTAGGGAGTCCCATGGGAAAATTTAATTAAAAACTAGACGCGGCTTAAACACGCTTTCACGTAGCGGCAGGTAATGGGCTGGCCACAAACTGTAGAACTATTTACTAAAGTCATTAGAGGTGGCACGGAGCTGAGTTCCTAAAATATGGCGCAGTTTGACCTCGTTGAAAGTCATTAATGGCTTAACGTCTTACCTCTTAGGTTCGTTAAATAATATTGAATTTGAGACCAAAATTGAAATTATATTTAATTTTGAAAATCCACGAGACGACCACATATGTCTAAGTGCATACCGTTGCTGACCCAATAGAGTTACCATGCCACCATCTAAATTGCTCAATTGGACTTCGGTGTAAAATCTATAATCGATGTTTATTTAATCAAAAATGCTTTTTTGAATATACAAAATCAAACAATTTCGTTTAAGTAAGTACTTTAACGCGTAACGCGTGTATTAGTACCCAATACATTTCGTTTCATTACAATACTTTTTACATCTATGACTACTTGAACTTTTGTCTAGATTCTATTCTTTATCGTATAGTCTCCCGTGCTTTTAACATACGTGGCGATAGTAAATCTTAATAGTAATATTACTCAACAAAGTGCAATATATCTGCGTGCAATCTGCGATTCTTGAACTCGGTAATGCCTCGGGCGTGGTAATATAGAAGCTATCCATATTAAGCCAAACAACCTCTTCGCTGGCAGCAAATTACTCACCTCGCGATATCTTTGGCTTATGTGTTGATAAAGCAGCTCCTATTGTCCCAACATAGGTTATCAAACGTTGTACTGAAATTAGTATATTACATACATGTTAATATTACAGCAGTTATAATATTTTTGAGTTAGAAAACCTAGTCATATAACATCTATACCAAATGCGTTGTCGACCTATCCCGGCTTTGCATATTCGTAAATCAACAGATTGAAACCGAATCGCGATTAAACTTGATGGTTTTTTCCTATATTAGTGGTCGTATTAGAGGTCGTATACTAAGTCTAATGGAATCGAAATCTGAACCTATTTTTATTTTAAATTGGTCGGTTAATCATGTGGAAAATTTATCCTTCATTTCGGAAAAATAAACAAGTTTGGGATAGAGGTTTTTGGCTCACGGTCCTGTCTAGACGACTAGATTTATGATTGTTACTCTGAGTGGGAGGCGTTTGCCTTGTTTACTAACTTTGGGTATCATAAATAGTTTCTATGTACGTGCATTTGATGGATTAATGAACTGTGTTTCTGTTCAAAGGATATTTAGATTCGATACATTTTATGATCGCGTATATTGCATATTATCGATATCGATTCAGCCGTTCTATATTGTATATTAATATTATGTAATTATATAACTTACGTGGTGCTAAATAGTGCTAGTTGAAAATGAACGACAACGAGCTACATAATATAATGTTCAGGAACCAAAAAGATGCCCTGGACGATGCCTTTTCAATCGTTGAATAAGGCATAGAGTATTTGTGCATCTTCATGAGAAATTTACAATTTAAAACACCTTTTAAACAACTCTAGTCTCCAGACGAAGCAGTAAGCGCATTCATAAAAGAAGTTAAGAGCTGAGTTTCACATTAAAATTCCGTCGTATTGTGCAGTAAAACCAAACAAAACTCACGAGACTCACTCGTAAAGCGAAACTAATTGCTTTACCTACAAAGGGAAAAAATAATATTGTACTCTTAACTATTGTCGAGGCAAATTCTGGTAACTTATTTCGTTATGGCTTAGGCTTAGTTGTAAATATGTTTTCGTTTTAAAATTATACTAACGCATACCTAAGCATTATGACTTTAAAAAGTTTATAAATAAGAACTTTAAGCAAAAAATAATTTTATGTTTTTGTATTAAATTGTTAACTAACATTCATTAGCTCAAATAAAAAGGAGGATATCTTTTATTTTTTCTTCATGTTTAAAAAGTTTTTACGTTTGAGGTAGTACGTATTCTGTACTTTTCTTGTGTGAAATTTTTCATCAGCGTTCTATCGGCATATCATTTTTCAACTCGAACCAATAGTTCCTAAGATTAGAGCAAACAAACAAACTCTTCAGCTTTATTATATTAGTAAAGATTGTAGACTAGAAACGTGGGTCGCTAGCACTCCTAATTGCTAATTTTCTCAGTGATAATAAATAGATGGCAACTATGTTTATTTACGCAATATCTTACGATCAGTCCGTGATTAGTTTCTTTAACGCAGGTAATACGTTTTTAGCTTAATTGTTATATATTATTGTCGCATTTAGTATCTTAGATCTACATCTAATTACAGCTTGGGACTTCCTCTACTTGGAAGGTTAATTTTAAGTAATTTGCTGGGTCATACGCGATCCGAAAAGCCGAGAAAACAGTGTCGTACTTTCTGTGTACATATAAACTGTTTTTTTATTACCTATGTCACTTCTTACTTGTATATTGATAAATACAAACAATTCAATAGTATAGATACGTACTTTAATAGTTAAAATAATACCTAAGAGCTTTACAACTATGAAACAAGATAGTGTTATCATGGCGCTTACAACTTCTATTTCATCCGGTCTTTATCTCTTAGGTCAAACTGACATACATTATGTCAAAGCTCCTACTTCCCGTAGCAATAAATCTTTGACAGATATAATTAGATGAACGCTCTAATTGGCTTGGTAACTGATTACGTTTGAATTGGTTGAATTCAATTTAATAAAACACTATTATTGGTTAAAAATGCGAAATATATTACTTAACTTATTTAGTTAGTTCGGTATGTGCAGCAGCAGTGACGAGACGTGATGCGGTACATTTCGGATATATTTCGCGGTTTAAACCGTTAAAAGTGTTTTATTTCAATAGGTACTCGCGTAAACTACAGACAAGGTAATGTAATAACCAAGAATATTAGTTTTAAGTGCTTAATATTTAGAATGCCTATTTCAGGTTGAATTTATAATATTACCTCCTATCCAATTTGATTTAATATTTTTGCCTTAAGTGACGAATAAACAAACTATCCTTATATAATTTTAACTGCGGTCACAGTTTTTATCCACCTAATGGTAGAGATGTAGATAATGATCGTTTTAAAAATTCTCTTGACCTCCTCATTTTATCGCAAGTTCATATCATGAATTCGACAAAAAATAGATCAAGCTCTAATTGACGTCATAAATTAAATTTGGTTTAAATTCATTATCAATATAGTGTGTAATCATGTTCGCTCTAAGGCATGTACCAGATATATTTCTGCATTTGTTTCCTAGGTTAGCGATTATACTTAAGGGTTTTTGATCTGTGGACGGTGGTTGGTGACCTAGAAGTAGTTTCAATATCCCCTTTTTAATATCCAGATTTCCAGACGAGGTCCAACATAACTCAGAAAAATTATAAATTGGTTAAAAATACGTTGGACCCGGTAGGAATCCAAACTATAATCCATTGCATATTAGCTATACATTGCTATTATTAAACTAACGATTTTGTCATAAATTACAAAACAAAAATATACGGGCAAGTCACAAAGTCTGGTTTTAACACTGGTTAAAACCAGACTTCGTGAAAATACTTATTACTTTCTTAGGATTATTAACCAAAATCTCTTGATCATCATCAGATGTCGGTCTTAATTAAAATAAATATAATTAATGTGTAATAAAAAATGGCGTAAAAAGCATTTGAAATCAACACCCATATTAATGTTTGGTCGCAATAATATTGATGGATGTCTTTGAACGTTTTTGGTTTTAAAACCCGAACCGATAGTTAATGCCCCTATCAATCAATCGATGCTTATATTTGATAACAAGGTGTTTGTGGTTTTGATACACAAATAATAATATAATATACACATCTGTCTGTTTTTTATTAATTGTCTACACTTTTGTGTTATTAAGGTACCTATTGTGTACACGAGTAGTACACATGAAACACTTTTAACTACGGCCCGACGTTTTCTATGGTTGGTTACAGCAAATTTAAAAGGACATTTATGTCACTCTTTCAAGAATATCCTCTAAACCGAATATGTCTGTATAAGACCACGATGTAGTAAATTTATTATTTAGTTATCAGCGTGGCCGCGTGCAAACCCGGGGCGTGTCGCTTGTAAATAGTAATTTGTATGTCCCCCAGCGTTAAAACTTACCGACAAAATCTACCAAATACATTAATATTAACAATATTATCTTTGACTTATCTCAAACAAAATTCACCGTTAGGTAAAACTCTTCACTGTCTTACAATAATGCCTTGTAATGATTTCTAATAGTTATTATAATTGATCTGGTAATTATCTGGCCTTAATCAATGGTAAGAGAAGATAGGAACGTTCTACAATTGTTTTTCTGTAAGAGATATTGTTTTACTTTAGCTACAAATGAATGCTTGTTCTAAGTCACAGATGTAAAAGCTGTAAAGTCGCGTTTGTTTCAGTATGTGGATTTCCGAATATCCAAAACATTAATAGGCCGACAGAACATTTTCTTTAGATGTTATATGACTTGGCTATTTTACTTTCCATCAAATGAACCCCGTGCTTGTCTGTCCTCCTCTATATATATAAAAAACGTTATTTGCTTGGAATATCTGAAAGCAAATTACATACTTCAATGCCTTTTTTTGAAACGCCTTGCTTGCAAGCTTGCTTTCATTTGATTCCCGGGAAATATGATACAATGAAGGTTTCTGATCATCCACTTGTTTGTACATAATATTGATCAGTACATACAATTGGTGTATTTCAAAATGTATGTATGTTCGACAGTAATATTTTCATACATTTGATATAGTGTCGTTAATATCGTCTTGTCTGTTCTAGTCTGTTCTGTAATATTTAATGTTTACCAGACCAGACGATATTTTGCCTCCTGTTGTATCAGTTTCCTCTTCGTCATCAGCTTGTTTACCCGCTTCTTATCGTGTTCAGCACTAATGAGAATTAATTTGCCTGTTGCACTGAGTAGTACATAGTCTTGCAAAGTGTCTGTAAATAGTTGTTTATATTTCGTTATAGGGATCCGCGGGTTCTTTACTTTGTATAGAACATCAGTTTCTGGTTGGGTGATCGCCGAATGAAGTCGAAGGTAGCGAAGATGAAATATTTGCCCACGGGTGGGCATAAAGAAACGTACACACTGATTACAGCGAGACGAAGATATATGAAGAAACTAATGTATGTATACGGGCTTTTTTGCGTATGAACCTATAATGTTTGCTTAGTTACTCACAACGGTTACATTTAAATGCTATCTGTAGTTTACGCGAGTAGTGCAATTAAATAAAACACTTTCAACGGTTTAAAACGCAAAATGTATTAGTTAAAAAAAATTATTTCGGATTAGTGATGTTGGAGATGCCTCCCTGACCAAGGCTGCTGCTTGGTAAATAATTTTAACGAATACATTTCGCGTTTTAAACCGTTGAAGAGGTTTTATTTAAATGGTTACATTTACTGTGTGTATATATCAGGTAATGAATGCAATTAAGGCTTTTTGGCTTATATTTATTTATAGATAGCAAATTCGGTGGTGGTCGTTTGTTTTAAGTTGACTTTAATTAATTCCATTTTCTTGTGTCTTCTTTTGTTTTATTTTGAATTCCATGACGAAAAAAATATTTTTATATTATTAACTTTGATATGTATATCTCAGTTTTCTCTATAAACAAATTCTCTTTCTCTGAAACAATTTCTGTTATAAATCGAGTAGTTTTCACTCCCGTTAGTTCAGATATTAAATCATGATAGATGGTCTTCTGCTTATCTATCGGAAGTATTTCAAGGAACGTGCCTTCAGCCATAACCGAGTTTGTGAAACAAAGATATATTTCTTGAACTTTAATTGCTTTGTCGATTCGCAGCGTAAATGTTTTATTGTAATTTATTGATGGATAAATCTGAAAACTTTTTACCAGATACTAATAATATACAGCTGAAGAGTTTGTTTGTTTATACGCATTGATCTCAGGAACTACTAGTTCGACTTTTTCGACATTTTTTTTTTGCTTTACCATTAGAAGGTTTTAGGCTATAAAACATCAAGCTGCAGCCAATACGAGCGAAGAAATAAAGGTAAACGTGGCAAAAAAATAGGAAATATTATTCATCTTTGAAGGATCCGATGCGTGCGGTGTGAGATACCGTAAAAATATGTTAAATAGTAGTATTATTTTTCATAAAGAAAATGTCTGCCACAGACTGTCTATTTTTTAAGATGAACTCACAAGAACGACGGGACGCGGACGATGCAGGTAACAAATATAATTTATAAAGGAAAAAAAATAATATGATGCCCCAAAATAACAATTCCACGTGAACGATGTCGCGGACACGGCTAGTTTCATAAACGTGTATTCAATATATATTTCGTCTAATTGCGATTCGGAACCGAAAGTAATTAATTTCCTTAGTACAAGATTAGTTCCAGTACTCCGTTGTCCGATAATGTGAAATACGGTGTTCATAAATACGATTTACAGTCGTGTTTGTAATTTATTAGTTTCTCCAGATTTAGTATAGGCTTTTGGTATAACAAGCGGTTTAAATAAAAACCTTTAACGATTTAAAACGCGACATATATTCATTAAACTTACTTGGAAAATATTTTAACTACGAGCCGACGTTTTAGACACTTTGCAGCCGTGGTCACGGGAAGACAAAATGGGGGCGGGCGTTAATGCGTTTTACCTAAATGTGTACTACTCGCGTGAACTACAGACAGTAAATAGGTAACAAGCGGTACTCAAAGACAGCTTATTGCAGAAACTATAGTAACATTGAGAGGCGTGTTAGTATAGTATATATATAGACCCTTAAATTCGTGAGGGTTGGAGTCGATGGATAACTAAACTGTAAATCGAACCATTTTTGCAACGGAAACCCACAAATGTAAATAATATTCCCCAAAGTATTTTTTCACATAACACACATTTTTTTTCGCTTCTCGCTCGCTTCTTCGATAAATGGTCCACATACAAAAATACTTTTTCAATCTCATCCGGTACTTTTAGATATTAGGGCGTTCAAAGAAACAAACTCTTCAGCTTTATAATATTAGTAAACATTGATAATATATCCACCAAAATTAAACAAGAAGGTATTTTGATATTTCATTACGTGAAAAACTCTTTGTTTTAAGACGTACCGTCGCAGTAACGTATTACGTTACAATAGTAAGATGACATCTTGTGGCAGAAATCAGTAACTTCGAATCTAATTTCAACTCTTAACGTATAAAATATAATCCTACTTATTCTACGCTTTGAACACAAATTCATATAATTAGATTGTTAGTTTAGCACTTAAACCATTCATTAAAATAAAAATTGGTTTTGAACCGTCAATTAACCTTAAACACTACTACTTCTATTAAATAACGGTTTTTTGAACATCTGCAATTCAAGCTTATTATTATCAAAATTATAAACATTTTAATCCATTTAATCTGTAATAGTAGGTTTACACCCTCATCAAATTGTAATACGGGCTTAAATTTGCAAATTTATGCGCACACGAAATATAATTAGTAGGTACTTATATTATTATTGTATAACGCGCCACGCTTTGGATATTATCATGTTTAATTTAGATCATTATTTTTTATTTATGAGCACGGATAGGAGCTTTAACAATATTTTTATACGTTACGAATATACGAAACAGTCGGTACAATTACAGTCGTTTTTAGGCAAATGGCTTGTTGGCGTGTGTGTTTGAGAGAGAAAGAGAGAAAATATTACTAGCCAAACAGTTGATTCTCATTTGTTTTAATTTTTATTATCAAACTTTACTCACGTCATGTTCTTCTTTTTCCTCTCCATTCCACTAAGACTTGGGCTTTATGTGATGGTATTAAAGTTCATATTGAATTTTGTGCCATTTTCTCATTTTCGTTAATGAATTGTAGCTATTTCCTATGATAGAGAAGGATAGACAAGCACAGGGTTCACTTAATGGTAGGTGAAATAGCCCAGCCACATACCATCTAACTAAGATGCGCTGTCGACCCATTTCGGCTTCGGATAATCGGATAAATAAATATAAATGTGACTTAACATTTTCTGAATTCCTCATACCGAATTTATCATTTAGCCCAATGATTTATGCTTATTGTACGGTTTATGGCTGTCATATTTTATAAAAACATGGAAACACTGTATACACCTGTCATTGGTATTATAAAACCATTATAGAACCGCGGGTGGTCGGACGTTTTAAATTAAATACTTTCAAATTAATTTCAATTGCCAAATACTGTGTTTGTTTTATCGAATTTTTGTTGGAATGTTTAAAAGATGTGGTCAATATCAGTGCAATAAATAAGATACATTTTTACTATTCAAAAATTTAGCTGTTTTTAATTTTAATATAATCAATTAAATAACAAATATAATTATTTCATTTCCAAATAGGAAATGGTGGTTAAAACGGAATATCATTTATTTAAAAGTTGTAAGTTGATTCGTAGCTTGCAAAAAAACATTTATTGCGGTTTAAAACGCGAAGTATACTTGTTAATTAACTTACTTTATTTTAACTACGGCTTCGCTTTGCAGCAGTCGTAGTTACGGGGGGTTGAAGCTAAAATTTCAAAGTAAAATCTGACATGCTATCATTGGGCTTAGTTTAAATAATTTAAAGATGAGTTTACAAATATATTTCGCGTTTTGAACAGTTGAAACCGTTTTATTTAAATGTGTACTATTCGCGCAAAATAGTATATTTTTTGGTTTAAATCACGCGCAAAATTCTATTATATTTCGCGTTTGAAACAATGACAATATAATATTTAAGAATATACTATGCGTAAGTACTGTACGGTACATATTTTAAACTACCATGTCAATAGCTTTGTATATCACCTTTTAACAGATATGAAAAAACACTATGGATATGTAATGGGCTGGTAAGCTATGCCACATATTTCAAAATGACAAGCATGTGACTTACCCTTGGCGTCGGTCACGAAATGTTTCTCGTTAATCAATTTGATGCCTAGCGGGGATTTGTAGATTTCAATCCATGGCACTTAAAACTTCTGAAATTTATATTGCGTTGTGAGAATAATGACATAAGTGACAGTAATTTAGTTCTATTACATCAGATAAGGGCGGGGTTTTTTTGATGGCCCCCGTCCTATAACGTCTCAATAAGATGCGCCGTCGACCTATTTTGCCTTTGTATTCGAAAAGCCAAGGATCGGAACCGAAACGCGAGTAAACTTTTTGGCTTTTTCATCTGTGGCCGATGGTTCCCCGGTGATGGTGACCCGGACATAATTACGATATCCCTACTATACTATACATACCCATTTGACGCCTCTATAACCAAATGGTTAAACGCATTCCGTTAAGCGCGAGAGGTCCTGGATTTGAATCCAAGGGAAAACATAAAAAGGTTTCGGTCGGGCAGGGCATAGAAGACTACTTGCCCGTTAAATCGAACATATAATCGCTTGATTATAAGCTATACATTGCTACCATTAGACCAACTAGTGCGTCTCTAGTTTGGTTTTATATTCTCACTGCAGTTTCAACTATAAGTACGAAGGAATTATAATAATACAAGCTGGGCCAGCGACTTCCTCCGCGTAGACTAGTTATTTAAGCTGTTACCTACGACGTCTGTCGCTTCCCTTCCCGTCGTTCTTGCACGTTAATCTTAAAAGATAGACATATAGCGTCGCGGATTTTTTTTTAAATCATGTAAAGAGGAATCATTCGTTGATACATATTTTTTGGGTATCATGTACCGTTTTTGCAGCGTACGCCTCGGTAACCCATAACGATAAAAAAATCCCCCGTTTCGTTCACATTTCCCGCTGTATCTTCGCTTCTATTATTAACAGCGGGATATTTTTAGCCCATAGCCTTCCTCGAGAAATGCTCTAACCAACACAAAAATAATATTTCAATTGGAACCCGTAGTTCCTGAGATTAGCGCGATCAAACAGACAAACAAACTTTTCAGCTTCATATATTAATATAGATTTAGATGTAAAATCCAGGAAAGAATATGTATATTCTATTTTGCATCGAGTAAAACGAAATTCGTCTTTATCCTTTGTGAGATTAATTACTACTAAACACCGAATTTAAGCCGAAAACATATTAGGCCAACGACATTGATTTAAATATAACACTATTAACAGTTTAAAACGTTACATGTATTAGTTAAACTTGCAAGTTTAACGTTTCTATTGCAATATAAACGTCGGGCCTTAAAAACAATTTGTAAACAAATTAAACATATCACGTATTACACCTTTAAAAGTGTTTAATTTACAAGTGTACTATTCGCGTAAAGTACAGAGTACAAACTATTTGTAGAAATTCAGTTTGACGAAATGTGAATCGAATTTCGGGCTTAACACCCAAATAAGACAGTTGTAACGAATGTAATACGGAATACCGATGTTTGTATGTAAGATGCCGTCATTCAATAAACCCAACTTCACCGTCCTGTAATATTATCATCAGACTAATGAAACATTTTGCTGATACTTATAAATTAACGTCACTTTGTTAGCTCGTCGCCGTCGTCTGTGACATGCGCCACAGATGTTATCGTCCGTAATTATCTGATGGCAATATGATAAAGTGCTTCAACTTATAACAACGCCAATAACAAAATAAACTCGATATTACGAACGACTTTCCCAAGAGTATTATATATACAATTAAGTTAATGCTGTCTAGTTTGCGCGAGTAGTGCACATTTAAATATAACTACTGTAACGGTTTAAAACGCGATTCATATTAGCTAAACGCGGTTAAAAGTTATTTGGAGATTATTCTACGGCGAGGTCGAGTGTCTCCCGTGACATATATATATCGCGTGTTAAACTGATAAGGTGTTTTATTTAAATACAATTAACTTTTTAATAATATATATGTTTCTTTTCATATTATAGTTTACTAATCTACTATTTAACAATCTAATCTATTCAGAATGAAAAATACGATACGGGCGGGGACTCGAACCGGAATCCATAGCGTTCTGAGCTGATCAACTGAGCTACTGCGTTTGAGCAACAGTACTGAACACTATGGATGTCGGTTCGAATACCGCCCGCGTCATATTTTTTCAATCTAAATAGATTTTTAATTTATATGTATAATGCCATCATGTGCCAACATGTAAAAAATATCAAAGTTTAACCTTTGCTTTTTTATCATTAACTTATCCCCAACCTTTACGATTGAATGATTCTTGAAAAATTGCTACAATGACTATGGTTTATTAAAAATGTCTTCGGCTTTTAATGCCAAATATTTATTAACTAGCCTACATTTAGAAGCTACTAGCACTTGCGTGACGTCTTATCTATGAATATATTTCGGTTTTAAACCGTTAAATCTTTTGAAACTCTTTGTTTAAATGTAAATATTAAATTCCTATCGCAATATTAATTATAACTCAAATTGAATATTTGGAAGTTAACTGGGGAATTGAATAACAGTATTTGTAGTTACCGAACTGAAAACACAATGCTCGTAACTTTGTATCTAATATTAACTATGATGTAGTATGAGTTGCACATATATGAATATGACACTCAGCCCCAAGGGGTTTATCCTCCAGTATTCGATAATAATGTCGAAACTTTCTATGAATTGAGTTTCGACTACTAACTATCCATGTACCATCCGTTTCGTAAGCTTTTGGTACGTTTCGTGCGCTTTTAAGCTTAGTAATTAACTTAGATAGGTTTCGAAAATCTCTTACTACTAATAGAAATATTACTTATTTATAAAAAAAAATATTACTTATTTATCTTTGTAGTTGATCATGTCTTTGCCGCTTTTCTAGTGTCTTATAAATTCGTTCAAACTGTTATAGTGCTAATCAATGCCAACCTTTTGAGTAAATCACGATTTTACATGTATGGTGTGTTTGTTTACTAAAAATCACAAAAAAAAATATACTATGTATACATTTTTCCTAAATAATAAAGTTAATTTCTTTTTCCTTCCTCAAATTGTTATTTGAATGGTTATTATTATTTTTTAAACTTTATAGAAGTTAATAAGTTTTGCACTTCTTGCACATTGTCTAATTTAATTATTTAGCTGCATTCTACTCTGGATACCTGGAAGAGATCGCTTATAGCGACAAGGCCGCCCGGTGCGCTCTATAGTATTAAAATGTCATTATATATGTGTACCAAATTGTGAAATAATAATATACACAAATGAAACTTGTGATATTTGATGTCGCAACCAGGGAAATAGCCCCCCGTTATTGAATTTCCTATCGCGATAGAAACTTGTCGGGCTCAGCGCTTGCTAGATCGCGGGTCGTCTTGTTAAGCAGGCACGTACCAATTGGTTCGAGATTAGCATCTGTATTCATATCCAATGAGACGGTAGATTGCTAGATGTCAATAAGGGGTATTCCTTTTTGGTTAACGCTGACGTCATTACCATATTCGAAACGAAACAAATTGTCATTTAAAAATTTTCCGCTATGTAGTGGTTCGGCAATTCTAAAATTGAGTTAAAATAAATACTTTTTTCCTTCGATAATGAATTTTTTCTATAGATATTAAAAGAGAAAGAGATTGTCTTAAGTAACCAAAAAAGTTGATATCACAATTTTTTTGGCTCTTCATACAGTTTAGCTTTTTTTCGTCTCTTTCTTTATAAATCAAGCTGACCAAACAAACGTTTTTTGAGATATTAAGTATTTAGACTAAATTTAATTACCATTATTATTAGTCATTTTTACGATAATTTAAAGAAAAATCGTTCTTTTATACATATTTTTTTTCGTATCTTGAACTATTTCCCCGTTTTTTTTCAACATTTCCCACTGTTTCTCGGTCCCATCGTGATGTTTACCTCAATATCATATAATCATATATCATATAATAATGGTTCATCCAACACAAAAATAATAATTAGAATTAATAGTTCCAGAGATTAGCGCGTTCCAACAAACAAACTCTTTAGCTTTATATATTAGTATAGTTACATATTCAATGTTTATCACTCCAAAACTCCAACCACACGTGACATAGCGCCCTACCCACCTTCAACTCAGCGTTGATTGTCGCGTTTTCCACGCGCACACAAGAGATATGATAAATGCTCTCCGTTCCCCTCGCCCATTTGCTTAAGGCTGAGTCCGGGAAGCTCTTTGAGATTCATGCTTTCGCCAGACACTTTTTATAAAGGGCTTTTGTACGCGCGTGTCACGTCTACCTGTATATACGCGACACTTACACTTGTTTGTGTTCACCTTCAAATCATACAAAGCGTTTGTTATACCGAATTTTTAATACTTCAATCGATAAATTCCAACAGCTAAATTTATGAGGCCGCTAGAGGCAAAGTGGCCTAATAACAAGGAACATGATTCTCAATAGGGGCCACAGAATATCTGCGTTAGGACATTGGTAGCGTTGCTGAGTGGACTCCTTTTCGGAGGGAACTATTTTACTTTATATGTACTTAGTCAATTAATATTTTACTTTTATATTATGTTCGTTAAATGTCCATTCAATAAGGAGGAAAATAAAAATGCGCTATTAACTTAGGCGAAAATGAATTTGTAGTTATTTGTGTAAGAAATATCTACATCTTATGCATATTGTTAGCATATATAAATCTAGTCATAAAATTGCAGTTAGGCTACTCTGCCTCCAGCGGCATCATATTATGTTATAGTAATAATTGCACCCGTGCAAAGCCTGGGCAGGTCGCTAGTATAACAATATTTCGTATCATTACCACGCGTATTCATTACAAGGAACAGTGACAAATTGCTCTCATTTAAACAGTTATTTGTTTGTTTTATTGTTTCTTTCGCCTGAGAACAAGACATGACGAATTGTTTCCGGGAAACATCGGCGAGAACCGAATCCGACTTTAATTAAATTGATTATTACATGAGAATTAATTTTAATGTAACTAAACAGTATTTGTGAAGACATATGTCAAACGCTTTATTTAAAAAAGAGCACTTCTTGTCGAGAAATTTCATCTTCATCTAGTGATCCTCTATGCTTCTCTATCATAAAACAACAATGCAGTCGCAAAAAAACTTTAACTAATTCGCCGATTTGTTTTTATTTCGAACAAGTATTACTATAGATTAATTATTAAAAATATACAAGGAAATCAAAAAAGCATAATACTCCATACATATTCTAATGATCCATAATGAAAAGAAAACAGTAACGTGCGGGTAACGCGTTATCAGCGGAACATCTGCTTCCACATTGCAACAATGGTCGTGGACTTTACAAAATTGAAGCCGAAAAACAAACAATTCTTAATTGAGACACTGCAAGACTGGTTTTCGCAACTATTTGTTGAAGGGGAGAGTTTTAATTTGGAAATCCATTAGATCGTTTATAACTCGGCCATAAAAAGGGGTCATTGAATGGTCAGTTAATTGACTCGTAAATCACAGACTCGCCCTGAAAGATATCAATATAATTTACGTGGTATTCTTCAAGTGAACGACAGATGGGGTTGGCTCGAACTTTAAGTTTGTCAACAAACAAACTGGTTCTTAATTGTGCCATTAACGAAAAACGTTGAATGAAAAAAATGACTCGTGCCAACGTTAATTTATTATAAGAGTTGTGTTATTATTTATTGTATATTTATTGTAAATCTAGCTAGGTAGGGCAGCTGTTAAAATTTTACTCGCCATTACAAATAGGTAACTACAAAAATGCAATTCCTATAGACAAGTAATGTAGTAAAGTGTAAGCAATAACATTTCGAATTATAGAAAGTCAGTTAAGATTTTAGTATTATAATATATAAACTACTACAATTTTAAAATTGTTATCAACGAAATGTTTATGACAAATAATAAGAGTATGCCAGTTTATAACACTGCCATCTATGATGTCGTCTTGTAACTACGAAGTGTCGTTTGTCACTTTTTAATAGGTTGTATTTGCCAACAGGCGGCAGCACGTGGCAGCGCCATGGAGTTCAACAACTACATCTAGCGGCGCTCGTGCGCAACACGAACTTTTTGAGTTACTTGAACGAGTACAATGTTCCCGTTTAGACGACCAGAGGGCGGTACTACCGGCTTACTTTACTCAGGTAAGTGTTGCAATAACAATAATTATATTATATTCAAAAAAAATTTTAACAATAATTAGCAAACAATTCTATTAAATCTTTCAACTTATGGTATATACAACTTTTTTTAAATCATTCCCCAGTCTATTAAAACCGGTTGAATCTCGGGGATACAACTTACTTCGCTTAAGAAGCATTAACGTGTAATCGACTTTTAACCCCTATTTTAAGGATCTGTTTAAAGGAATAAATAAAGCCATAGTTTTCATAAAAAAATTGTCGGGTTACGATTTGAAATACTTACTTATATATTTGAAATACATCACAATTATTATATTATCTAAATGAAATCAATATTAACAATTAAAACTTAGTTTAAGATACTTATAATAAGCGTAACGGTCACAGAGGCTAACGTCGGTCAAGTAATTTAACGCTTACTTCTCTATGGCCAATGCCTTGGGGTCAACAGTAACTCTTTCAAAGAATATAATCGGCGGAAACAACGATCTACAGATAAAGGAAAGAATAGATGTATTAGGGTGGCAAGCGGAGCGTGAAACGCTGTCTGTCAGACCTTTCTATTTTTAACCGACGATAGACAAGAAGGGTAATGATGAAATGCTTAGTTAAAATCAAATTTATTAGCTTACATAAACATTATATATAATAATGAATAATCAGATTTCACTGTTTCAAATTACATAATAATTAATAATTATGACATAGGTTTATTTTTTATACAATTGTGTTGTAAATCCTTTTAATATGCATAAAACCGATAAAGTTAAATGTCACAAATACATTCAAATCTTTTATTCATGAATCGACGTTATGCAAAATGTTATCTTAAATTACATAAATATTATCCTTGCTAAAGATTCTTAAAATGCAGATAAAAATGAAGGTTATGTTTCTAGACGGTTTAATTATTATTTAAAAAATCTTTTTTATTAACATTGCACCTATTTTAAATACACTAATGTTATAAAGTTGAAGAGTTTGTTTGTTTGAATGCGCTAATCACAGGACGGTTTGTAGCCTCAAGTCTTAGTTGATAAATACTGTAACGAACACCAAAATAATTTTTCACTTCGATCCATTAGCTCCTGGGCGTGTTTAAACGGCTAAAGATGATGAGGAGGTTAGCAAAAACAAATTTTGACCTTTAAAATAATTCTACGCGGACGAAGTCGCTAGCACAGCTGGTGTGTTAATGTAAGGGAGTTATGCAACACTAGTTTTATAGTACTAGTATATTTATTAAATTTTTTCGAAGCCACCTCTTGTACATCAGAAACTTGAGTCATCTTTACACTTACAAAATTCCAACAGCTTTTGTGAAAGTAAAAGCAAAGACAACTTTAAAATAGCCGGCCTTGGACAAACTTAATTTCAAAATAAGTAAATTCGTTTATATTGAAAACAAGTATCATCTTAAAGTTATTTTGTTGTACTTTATTCTTATTTCATTTCGGTGTAATTGTTTTTTTGGTTCAAACGTGTATTATGAATATTGGTGATATTTTTGGGTGCTTCTTTAAGTCTCAAGTGAGTACGTGGTTTGAAAATAAATTGTAAATAATTTAACAATGTTCTATTGCTTTGCTGTTGGGTGTTCAAAGTAAAAAAAACAATATCGGTTTTAAAGTTCATTGAAAAAGAAATTTTAATGACTAGTGTTGCGCGCGTACTTTATAAAACGTCGATACTTTTTTGGTGATAATTTCCTCGTTTATATACTTTTTAGTTTAGATTAATATATTTTATGGCTGCAGTAACAATATTAAGTTATTTAATATCCCGTACATACCTTTTAAAAGCGAAAAATAGTATTGCAAGACACTTGGAACTTTGTCAAAAATGTCTTCTTAAATTATTTGTTTCATTTCGTTAAGAAAATGAGTTGGAAAATTATTTCCTCCTAATTAATTATTGCATATAATATTTTCTCCTTTCTGTCAAGTTAATTATACAGTTTCTTTTCGTCGAGGTGACTTAGATCGTGCTCGCGCGTACAAAGCATAATTAGCACTTGTATAAAGGAAGGCACGCGTAATAATTTTAGCAGGACTGAGGACACAGGTCGAATAATATCACAACACTAACAAAATCGATGGCGACTGTCGAGTTTTGAAGGTTAGGTGTATCTGTATCGTGACTTAAGATTTAAAATTCATAGTATTGACCATTACTATCATGGCCAAATTTAAAAAATGTTTTGAAGTAAAGCGTAAAAGTGAAAACTATTATTCAAATGAAACACTTTAACGGTTTTAAACGATATATATTAGTTATATTAAGTATTATTCAGTTATATTTATTTTATCTTACGATATTGAATATAGAAAATGCTGTTTAAAATTAGTATTTTTAAAAGTACATACAAAATTACTTTATTATTCGTCAAATCGTTACCCTACTTTCCACATTATACTACAAATTAGACTTATTAATAATCTCGTATAAATACTATTAAATTATATGATATATATTATAAATGAAATTATAATATGTACTCCTGTTGATAATTAACTAATACTGTTTGCGTTTTGACCTTTTACATAAAATAACATAAACGCCTAATAGATTTATATTAAAAAGCTGTATGCAAGTTAAACAGCATTGCATATACAACTATGAAACATGGTGGTCTTCTCAAAATGTTATTTTTCATTTTAAAGAATATATTTTATTGACAGTGTTTGTAAACATGCGTGTTGTAATGTTTAGGCCATAATAACGATATTTTTGACGGCCTCGTTGGTCTCATGATAATGTATATTTTATACAATCGGAATGTCGTGGGTTCGATCTTCACCGGATCGAACATGTTTATTATGTTACCCAAATAGATCACCAACCCCCGTTCTACACAATGGCCAACACGTATTCGCTAATACATTCGCCAAAATGTTGGAAAACGTGTAGAGCCGCCATTAGATAGATGTATGGATATATAAATGGGTGGTAGGAATATCTAAATTGCTTTTCAGGTTTAGTCTTGGAATTTCCGAAACTTCAAAGCCACAATAGGTCGACATCTTGTAAATATTTTATATGATATTATGTCTATTCTCCTCTATTACAAAATAATATACTTAGAAACGTCTAATAATAATATCTATACGTCTAATCCTTGTATTAGAGGTACAAATTAAGATTAGTATGCTATGATAATATAGCCATAGATACAGGTCTCGCAGCGCTAACGACCGCCAAATGAGGTGCATGTGGATGCATAAGTGATGCACCGCTTACGTAATCACTGGTTAGGGATGTTTCCTAAGCATATTCAGGTGTTACGGTAACGTACTTTTAAAACCGTTAGAAAACGTAATATTAATATTTTTCCGTTTGGCCGAGAATATTGCGCTAATTTTTGGCTTTCAAAAATAAAAGTTTGGCTGTAATGCACTTGGTGGCAGTAAATTAGATGTTATCTTTCCTATGTCTATTTTAACGTATATATACATATTTCATATGTCATTGTATAGTGGTAACCACTTCCACAATAAAATAAATGATAACTAAAATTGTGGCTTTAAGCCCACTGAGGATTACACCCCATACTTACAAAAGGGGAGCTCTTAACCGGGATCCAAACCCTGTTCTATAGTTAGATAGACCAACGGGCACTTAGGTAAGTTGGTGTAATATATGTATATTAAATTCAATAAAAATTTATAGCTACAACTCGATATAATAAATTTTTTTCACTAAATATTGTCTGTAGTTTGCGCATGTGGTACACGTGTAAATAAAAAAAAAACAGTTCCAAACGCGAAAAATATTAGTTAATTGATTTACAATTTATTTTACCTACAGCTCGAGAGTCCGAAACGTACGATGTGAACCTAATACGTTTGAAACCGTTAAGTCTTTATTTTATTATTATCTTTTATTTTTTTATAAACTACAGAAATTCTCAGTAAGACATCTACTTGACATTTCCATCTCTAGTTAGATTCCGTTGTAACGACGATTGTGTTAATTAAAATGTGCACAAGAAATCTATCGATAAGTCATAACATAGACGCACACCACTAATCCAACCTGATCTTGACTATGCAAAACTGCATTGGCACCGGGGTCTCGAGATCCAATCAGTCTTCGTTTTAGATGTTGACAGAAGACGTCAAATGTCGCTCAATCATACCTAATCGGTATTTTAAGATACGTAAATAAATTGTAACGACTTCCTTAGTGCAGTGGCTGATAATCAATGGGTCGGGTGTTCGATTGAACATGTTTCTTATTCTACAATCTATTTATAATGTTTATGTAACATGTAAGACTTCGGCTGAAAAACTGGATATCAAATGAATGAGGGTTTATAAAAGCAAAGAAACAAGGAGAAACATTATCAATTTTTGGGGGTCTAGGTTGCTTGTTACTATTCAAGATACTGTAGTTTATGCATAGAACACATTAATATAAAAGACTTGAACGGTTTAAAACACGATATACATAAGATGAAGTTATGTGACAATTATTTTAACTACGGCGCTACGTTTCGTATCTCCCCGTATTTCGTGACGTGGGGCCGTAGTTAAAATAATTTTCAATTAAGTTTGAATAATATATATCGCGTTTTGCCCGTTAAAGTGTTATATTGAAATATTCTAAGAAATATCAGAGAGCTCTATGTATTAAGATTGTCTTACAAGAACCGTTTTTGGTATGGTAATCAAATTTCAACAAAATATTAATGGCAAAAGAACGTTTACTAAGTCAGCTAGTACATATTAACTTCCGTATATTACCAAAGACCATGAACAAATGAAGATATGGCCTAAGTTTCAAACTTACCTTTCCGAAGCGACTACCTAATTAGCTGCACTAACTTAAGTACCAAATTTAGCTGCTAAGTGCAGCAATTCTAGGAGCAATTTATTTGATTCCGCGAACCGTTTTCACTACTTTGTCGCTAGTCACAAGATAAACCAAATTAATTATCTTCATTGCCCGTTTCATAATACCGTTCTATTAATATCCGAAGCTTTCAGGCACACACTTGTAACTGGCCAAGCGTGTGCTGATTTTCAGTTTAAATTTTTATACGAATTACTTTATATGATCGCCGTCTCTATGGCGTAGTTGTAAAATGTGTTGCATTGTGTTTAACACGAAAAGTCCTAGGTTCATAGCTCGGAAGTGAAATAAAAATGTTTAAATTCTAAAGATTAGACGGGCTAGATCGTCTAATGCTAACAATGTATGTAGTAATAAACATCGTGTTTCATCATACTAAATGGGTGGTAGGAATACTGAAATTTAATATCTGCCCGTGTTACGAACCACGGCCACGATGCACTGAATTTAATCGCGTTTCGGTTTAAGTCTGTGGATTTCCAAATATCCAATTGGGAATCCGGCTTTAAAAATATAGTAACCAACTTTAACTATATTTATTAATAACATTTCATATTGCGTATTTGCTATAATTGAATACCATAAAATTATTTAAATTGTAATATCGCGTGGTAAAGTGAAAGAGAAAATGCATTTGCGGTTGCATTTTGCTGTTCAAGAAAATGATCAATTATTGCTTGAACACGAGGGAAAGTTTTAAAAGTAGCTTTTCATAGAGAAAACACGAAGTAATCGGAAAAATATAAAGTAACGCATTTTCGTAATAGTCTGACAAATAAATTTTGTTCGTAGGCAAGTAGAAAGTAAGTAGATCACTTTTGAGAACTGTCTGACCGAACCTTGTATGTTCTTTTATGTGTCTAAGGCAACATGTTTATCATGTATTTAGGGGTTTTAACAAGACGTAAATACGTTTACTTCTAACTACTAGCTTACGTGGCAAACGTTCTTTTGCTTCATGAAGTATTTCCACTAAATATACTGGTTGAACCATTACAAAAATAATTGTTTTATTCGAACCAGAAGTTCTTGAGAACAGCGCGTTCAAACAAACAAGCTCTTACCTTTATTACAGTAGAATATAATAGAAATTAGATAAATAGGAAATAAGTTTCTATTGAGTATTGATCTCTTTAAATAGTGTTAATGATTTTAAATACTCCTTAAACAATTGAAGTCCGAGTTTCTTAATGATTTCTCTAAATAACATCATTAGTGTATCACTATCTTTAAGATGATGGATTAAGCCTTTTGTATGTATTCATTAATTTTAATGACACTAATTAGATAACAATTTTTAAAGCCTTCATTTTTACATAGACAGAATATGAACCTATGACCAACGGCATATACACAGATCTACTAGCTTCAGTTTTTGTGGTTATCTATCTTCATCCATTACTATAAACTTTTATTTTTACATGTTTTTGCTAACGAAACGTTTTATAAAACCTCTCACCTGTGTGTCGGAAGATTCAAGTTGTTATAAGACTTGAAACAAAGATATCATACATCCTTCACTATCCACCCCTAACGCATTCAGTATGGTTTAGTAATAGTGTATCTGACGTATAATAACGACAAGTATTTTGATTACCCCGCTGTTCAAAGAGCTTTAAAAAAGCTGTCATCGACAGGAACTTAGAACTACATTGAAACTAGACTTTTTAAAATATACATACTTGGATCAAAACATTTTGTAAGTTGACATTTGACGGAGAATACATTGAATATTTAAGTTTTCGGGCTGTTCGGCCCACGTGAACATCTGATGATGCCGTCCGCTCGTAATGGCGAAACGTTGAGGACCTCTTTTTGTTACCATACACAATTTATTGAAAAATACATTATTAGAGTATAGACGGAGATAATGAAAAAGATGACTTAAATGTATTTGTATTAAGATCACTATATTTGGTTATATAAAGTGATTTAAATAAAAAAAAACCCAAAGCTGAACATCTGAAAATCTTTCAAGTTCATTACACCTAAAACCTGTTATAAATAAAATTCCTGTCGTTGTAAAATTGACAATACATGTATTATAAACTATAACGTATATTTACCGCCACTGCTGACAACCGAACCCACCAAGCCACATCCTTCCTACCGGACAAAGATGCTCGTAGGATATCCCTCAGAAGGTTTTGGGCTTCGGAAACAGCTGTATTCCTGGCACCTGTTGAATCTTTGTTCCCTTCGCGAAGGACCGAGGTAGACATGCTCCGTTGCACTGGGCCGGATGTTCCCACGCGAATGCAGACACTCCTACATACAAATGGCCGCCATCTTTTATTTTTGGCGCTATGCAACGATCATATTTTGCGATATTGGAATTTCATTTCCCTTCCGTATAAGACAATTGTCTATAATTAAACTATTGTGTATAGTTTACTCGAGTAGTACACATTTATAACATTTTAAAGGTTTTAAACGTGAAATATATTACATAACTTGTTTACAATTTAAATTAAAAATCGATTTTAGATTGAAAGATTTTGCCACACGGGTAGGACTTGAAACGGCACCGACAGCGCTCCGTGCTGTTGCCAAGCCGTGTCGTATTTTTTTTTAAATTCATAATCGATTTTTAATTTATATGGTGCCCTCACGTAAAAAATACTATAAGTTTTCGATGGTTTACAACTTATTTTAATTAAGGCCCGAAGTTTTATATACAGCATTGTTTATATAAACATTTGTCTATAAATACTTTCAATTACAGACACGGAAATCTCTGTACCGACGCTTGGAACGGCTTACTTAAAAATCAGGAACACATCTCGTGTCCAATTAGATCTCGTACTTTTTCCAGTATCCACCTAACTTAAATAAATATGTTCGACCTATTTCTACATCAGTAGGTAAATAATTAATCAACGTGAAATCTACACGGCTACTGTTTATTTGCTGGAATTCAGGCGGCTAATTTTAGAACGATTCCAACCCACACGTTTGAAGTTTATCAATAAATTCCGTTATAAGAAAAACCAGAAAATTAAAATAAAATAAGTAAAAAACACAAACATTTGATATTAATTAAAAAGTTAAAATATTTATCAGTTAATTACTATATTTTAACTCGCAACTTTTATTATCTGAATTTGATCTCGACTGCATTCAATCTTGCAAGTAAAGAATTGTTTCTCTCTTTATCTCGCATGTAGATGTTAACCGTCAAGAGAGAGACAGCAGACCATGATTGAACTCGAAGCAAGTCGCTGGTGCAAATAGCACGCGCTTTCATTCGGCTTTCGAACTGTACGCGGTGTGGATGTATCGCTTTTGCTCTTAACACGCGCTTTACGAGACGAATTTGTTGTTTATTTTGGGAAAGATCGTTGGGAAATTGCATTAAATAACTTAATGTCTTAGTGTTATTGAGTTACAAAACAAACTTTTAGGATATAAAGTGTTCAGTGAAAGTTTGAACGCGATTTTGGATGTTCCAAACGACTTTTTGCGGGTTTTAACGTTAAAAACGATTTGGATGTTATGATGATCGGTGTTGCTTGTGATTTGTGGATGCGAATGGAAAGCTAAAATCGTGGATTCCTTGGCACTATCTGGCTTTATGAGGGAGAGACGGTCCTTCCCTATAAGCGGCGAAGTGGCGCTCAAAAGTGACAAGGATGGAGGTGGTAGGGGATTAGTGGTGAACTCTGTTTTATGTGGTGTGGTGGATGAGTTGTCGAACGGGAGGACTGGTCGCCGAGGCTCGTGGGTTCGACACGCAGTTATGGGTGTGCTTAGGTGGAAAGATTTGACTGGAGTTAGAACGAGTACGCCTACCGAACAGAAAGAGGTGAGTTTGGAGTCTTAGTGAATTATGTATGTATGTATAATTCTGGCTACAACCTGCATATTTTTTAAATGGTTATACAGTAAATTGTCTGCTTATAATTACTTAAACAGACACAGAAATATGGTTTCCTTGTTATGATGGACCTTGCGCACCAATTCTGATTGGAATAAGTGCCTTGTAAGGATGTAGAAAACATAATTTTAGATTTCTCAGATGAATCATTTTCCCAAAAACGTAATATGAACTAACTTATTATCAGTTATGTAAACAATATGACTAAAAAGGAGAGATCGTTTGTCAAAGAAGCACCTCTGTGACTAGGTACGTTTTCGCGAAAACCGTTAGATTATAACCTCCAAAAAAGATTTGCGTTGCCAATTTTTAAAACTTGTAATTTTGTGTTTTGTGTCAAGGTTGCGTTTTATAAAATAAGTGATAAATAATCAAATAGAATAACAATTAATTTAGTAATTTAAATATTATCTCCATATTTGAAACTTAAAAATTCTTTTTATAATTAATCCTTGTAGCTTTTTTCGTGTGTTATCGTTTAACGTTATGTACGTTTTAAGAACTTTTAGGTAAATTCTTGAATTAATCTCAAACTTAAAGAGTTGTTACAAGCAAATTGTAGAGCCGTTATAATACAATAATTATACGAATTTAAATTGTAATTTTGTATTGTTACATTCATACGCGAATATGACTAGATTATAGACAGAGCAATAAAATATATAACAACAAAGCATATAAACTGTGGACTGGGCTATTCTATATATTTGTAGTTCAAGATTGTCATTCATTTTAATGACATTTAGACAGAAATGGATGCGAACTTTCTGGAGAAAAGTAATTAAAAACTACGAACATTAGGTTGAGTTGCGCTTATAAAGGTCCAAGTTAAACATGCCTTTCATTTTAAGAATGTAAATATGTGCGCAAGTAATTACACATGCTTTGTGTGTGCTCAAAATTTGCACGGCTTTATTCAAAACTTTTCGCCAACAGCGCAAAAGAGGTACAACACTTTAGTTAACGCGAGGAGTAAAACATTGAAATAGAATAGTTTTGAACGGTTTAAAATTTTAGATTAATTTATTTTTAACCAAAGCCGTGACTACAACATTTTCAAGCATCTAAAATGTCGGGTCGAAGTTAAAATAAGTTAAGTAATAATTCGCGTTTTTAATCCTTCCAGACTAGCCAATATATCTCGATATAAGGAGGAAAACTTTCACGAACCTCCAATTTTAAAGATATTTATGAGGAGATAACATAATAGAACTCGTGTTGAAGCTTAACGTAAGTCGTGCCGGGTATTCCTAACTCAAATCACGCTTGATTTAGTGAAAACGCTTTGCAGATTAAACGAAAGTCTGTGAAAATATTACTCCATTTTGTATATTAAAAAAACAACGTGTCATAGAGGCATTGCGAATATTACATGTATGTTATCCCCGGTTTTATTGACGTAGACTTATTAAGATACTCGTTACTTTATACAGACTATATACAGAGTGGAAAACTCAAAACTTTTTTTGTAGTAGTAGTGTTGTGTTGAGACCGGTGAAAACCAGTTTCCGCCGCTCAACAGTAGCAGTACCAGAGCAAAAACGTCTGTTTTTTTTATAAAAAACTGTCTGTGATTAAAATAACTAGACTATATGTTTTTGAATACATAATTCTAATTAAGTACAGAGATATTAACGCACTTTTGTATTTTGAGGTTACAAACTTATTGTAAGCGCATTTGTTTTTTATATACCTCGAAACAAAAAACATAAGATTGTTTTGTATAAATCTGGCAACTTTAAATAAACGAAACTTCATTTCAGAATTAACGGTACGTTAAAGTTGGCACTAGGACAATAATTTTGTTGTCACGCGGTCGCTGACATTAGGACCGCTCGTGTTATTTAACAAATCCGATGATGTAAATATAAAAAACCCTGACATAGATAGATGGATAGACAATAACGGTAGTGTACTGTGTAAGTGGACAATATGTTAGGCACTAAATACTGTCTAGTTTACGCGAGTAGAACACATTTAAATTAAAACTTTGACGGTTTAAAACGCCAAATACAAACTTCAGAGAACAGAACTAGCGTAGCAGTTTTTACTTTGACGTCACAGACAGCCTCCATCTTTAGTCTCCCCGTGACCACGGCTGCTGCAAAGCATCGAAACGTCGGGCCGTAGGTAAATGATATTCGCATAAGTTGAACTAATATATATCGCGTTTTAAACCGTTAAAGTGTTTTATTAATATGTATATGAGGTACGTTAAATAAATTGTTAATTTAATGTGATAAATTTATAACAAAGGCGGAATTTATGACAAATAGCGTATGCCGTTACTTTTCCAATTGTGTCTCTTCTATAATTGATTTTCTCATTTCGCTTAATGTTATTCGTGAGTTGTAGCCTAGTTCTAGGTAATTCATTCTTTAATACTATTGGCTCTTAAGTGCATTAATTTGTTAACATAATTAAGAGAAGATTTAGTTAAGAGTTTATTTTAGTTAAAACCTGACTGTATTTTGTTTTAGCTATAATGCTTGCAGGTCAGTAGATTATTAATATTCTTAATATAATCGGCGCCGGCGCATAAATGAAAGTTACTGGTGTTATGATCTTAAAGACCATCAATTTAATGATTAAATAACTGCAAATACCAACTGTGAACAATTTATCTCGTGGCCTACTGGCCACTCAGCTCAGTGGATGCGAAAAGTTAAACCATTTTCGTATCTTTCCCGCAAAAGGTTAATGCACTATCGGTAATGATACAAAAACTTGGAGATAACACTGACAGCTCGGTGATGCATCGTTGCGACCTGATTATCGCTTTATGGCTCCTCAGTAAATCAAACCTACGTTATCAATGATATAACACGCGCAATACAATATGATATAAAGTGTTATTCATTCTATTATTGGTATATAAGACTGCTAGAACCAGGGTAGCCTAACTGCAATTTTAAGACTTGAGTTATTAATATTTTTAGAGACTAACAATTTAAATAAAACACTTTAACGGTTTTAAACGCGATATATTTTAGTTTAACTTGTTTGAAAACAATTTTTAACTACTTTAATATGCTATCGTATGTATAGCTAAACCTAATAAAAATGTTTTGTTTAGTCCTTTTTTTCATCAGGTAAGTATGTGTACTTGTTATAATGTAAGTAATTGTATAACCGTACCCATTTTCAACACACCCAGTTTTCCTAGAATTAAGGTGTATTTTGATGAACAAACAATCGAATCAATTTGGTCAGTAATGATATTCAAGTGACAAGGTCGTGGTACAGGCAACAAAAAAGGAAGCCGTAGTATAAATGACGAATAGAAATGCTAAGGCTAGTAAAGCATGTTCCCAATCTTGGTGAATAAAATGGACGTCAAACATTAAATTTGTTTTTTTATTTTTTTTTTATTATAGTGACAGTTTAAGATCATTGTATATATATTATATATGAATCGGCTATAGGCAAAGTGGCCTAATAAAAAAAATGCGCTATTAACTTAGGCGAAAATGAATTTGTACTATTATATGTGTAAGAATTATGTTAACAATTTTCGGTCACTGTGATCTTGTAGATTAACATTTTTAGACTATAGATATATATATAACTCAAGTCATAAAATTGTAGTTAGACTACTCTGCCTCTAGCGGCCTCATATATAATATTTGATTTATAAATATGTATGCATATAATATTAAAATGTTATATGCAATCCATTAAACGTGACAATAGCGCCGTATATTTTGCGTATTCCGCTCCATTTCTGCTGGCGAGAGACAAAAGTGACTTCTTCATAATATTTCTGCCTGATGCATACCCAGGGATAAACCTTTGTCTCATCCCAGCGTGCACAGATGCGATTTCTATGACAAATGTCGATGGAAAAATGTTTGAACATCGCGTCATCGAAAAATCTAGCATGGAATAGTGATGTGTGGGTATGAAAATCTAGTACATAATAATAATAATGTTCTGTCTCTATATCATTTTTCACCGTTTTTATAAGCAAAAACAGTAACCCTTTCGTAACAATTCGTCTTATGTTCTCGTTCTATTTTCCTGTTAGTAACGTTAAATAGCCTTTAGTTTAAATAAAACACTTTAACGGTTTAAAACGCGATATATTAGTTAAACTTATTTGGAAATGATTTTTAACTAATATATCGCGTTTTAAACCGTTAAAGTGTTTTATTTAAATGTGTACTACTCGCGTAAACTATAGACAGTACTTCACAGTAACTGTTTTTATGCGAATCAAATTTCGTTGCAATACCAGGCCAGTTACTTTTAAATAAATCAGCAAACATCTCTTGTAGTCATTATTAGAATTGCTCCCCTGTGCCAGTAATGTACAAGTTTAACTGTGTCCTGATTTCAAGAAAAGCCTGTATGCGAGGGACGTCTGCCAATTGAGTTGTAATCAGGATTCGTAAAGAGTTTTCAAAATCCATTCTAAATCCAACAACTTGCTGTCAACTTAGCATATATACAGTATCTGTGTATGCCAAGGAGTATGTCTGTATAAGCTGACAGTACTTAATATACAGTATTTGTTAAAATTCAAATTGCGTGATACTAATGTTATCTGTATTCAGAATTTTAAATTTCGAAATGTCGAACTTTGAAATTGTTTCGACACTCGGCACGTTTTAAAACTTTTCAAGGCATCCCTCCCTTTGATTTGTTAAAACACTTTCTCTCTCCTTTGATTTGTTAAAACACTTTCTCTCTTGTCAGTGATCGTTGTCAACTTTGTTAGAGAAATATAATCTACGTAAGCGTTTGTTAATGATTCTAAATTAAAAAAAAATAATGAATCCCTTTTATTTCTTTTAACTACTGACTTCTGCATTCGATTAAAACGCTTACATTATACTAGTTCTCGAACTCTGTACCTTTCACACAACAGTAAAGACTGACGGTGTAAAATATAACTTCGACATAGGTTGTCTATCATATATGATGTATGTATAAAGGTGACCTAA